CTTTAACTTATGTCTTCCAATCACTTTGCATATTTAGTAAACACTTGAAAGTGATGAGGTGCTATCCTCATCAGAATGTTTGATGTCAAAATTTAGTTATCAAGCTGATTTCCCTACATTGTCTGTTTGAAACATGAGATGTGAAATAAATTATGTTTATTTAGATGTGATTAATAACAAAGCTAAAAATAAATGATCACCCCCTTTTCACATTAGGGTTGTAATAATAATCATAGATTACAACCACTTTAGTAATCCATCTCAAAAATGAGCATTGTAATATTTTAAAGAAAAATCTGTTCTTCCCCAACAAGGAGACCTGGAAGGTTTTTTTCAAGAGTGATTTTGTTTCTTTATCTYATTGATAAAAATCCAGGAAAAAAAACTACACCTTCTTAATAGATCACAATTTGGATTATTGACTGATTTATTCTTTTATCTCTTATATAATTATTCAGATTTCTTTTGCATTTATTTTATTTCTTGACACTCTTTCATTGACTCAGACGATTGAGTCTTTTTATGCCTTGTATTTTTTTAACCTATTTCTTGAAGATTTTTTTCTACTCTCAAATTATTATAACCTTTGTAGGGCCACATCTGCATTTATGTTGATAGCTTATTTAATTTTACTTTTATCACATGGGAACTGAAGTAATTTAAGATGTGGTATTAAATTTTGGATACTAATAAAAATTCTTTTCATACTAATAAAAATTCTTTTCATACTAAATCCTTGCTTGTTAGCCCCACTGCCCTCTGGGAACAGCTGCAGGGCCTCCGTAGGGTGAGGCCTATTGTACTGAGGGTTTTCTGCCTCTCTGATAACTAACCGCTCTTGGAGGTGGACCAAGTTAGAGCCACACAATGCCAAATTTCAACACCATAGTAGAGTGTGCAGCTCAGATTTTTATTTAATGAACTGACTAATGTAATCCAAAATAATCTTTAAAAAAGTTAAGGTATAAATTTTAGGCTTTTGTGAAATTTAAAGGATATTTTAAGAGCAAATTGAATATAATCCTACCACTAATGTAAACAACTCAGTGTGTTTCTGAAAGTAGGTCTGAAATAAGAAAATAAAGATGAAATGAAGTTCTTTCTAAATAGAAAATGTTATTTAGAAAATGAGGCTGATTCAACCATGAGGCATAAAAACAACTCATCCCTGCTAGTGAAGACGCAGAACTACAGTAAATAGTGCTCAAATCGATGTAAAAAAAAAAGTTAGTCCAAATATTTCTTTAAAAAACATGAATTAAAGACACATTTCAAGATCCCCTATACTCTGATGCGCCTGGACTATTGACAGCTAATCTTTAGTGGCTATTTACCATATGCCAAGCAAGAAATATGTTATTCTCACATGAATTCTCAGTGGTAGATGCTATTTTTATTCATGTTATACAGATGAGGAGACTGACACTTCCCAAAGATATGTGGTGAGTGTACAGTGGGGTTTCAACCTGCAATCAGGCTCTGTTGTCAACTATCTTAACTGCCATAGGGCCTGGTGTGTTTCCCATCTATTAGATATCTATTAGTTAACCCAAGTCATTTGGCAAGCTAGGAGAAGTAGTAGCTGAAGGATATGATTACCTACCTGTCTTCCTGCCCTAAATGATCCTGCTGCCAACACTCCTCCCATGACCTGGCCCTGTCCCCTGCCCACCAAAAGGACCCACCAAAAGTAGCTAGCTCCGCCCATCRTCTGGCTCTGCTGAGGCTGTATATAAAGCCCAGAACCTCCTGGCTCCCAGCCATTTTTTTTCCCTGAAAATGAGCCACATCAGGTGTTAGTTGGATTCACCCTGACGCTGAGTAACAGAAGCTTGAGGATGTGAGATTTGCTCCCCACCTTGCCCTGTGCTTACAGTAGCAAAGAATTCTGGTTCCCCCATCCTGATGTGCTCCTCAAAACTACACTGCCTCCCAGTTAGTGCTTTAGAAAAGTTAATACGTTAAGAAATCCAGAAAGTAAATTTAGAAGTATAAGCTGTGGTAAAAATGACCCCAGAATAATTAAATATGACTAAAGTGTTTTAATCATTCTAATTTATATCACCCGCCTGGGCACTTCCCTCCAGCCCCCGAAGTTTTCTATTTCTCAGGGCATTATCAGATGCTTCAAGCAATTGATTGGACTAAATTTCTTAGACACATATAATTCTGCCATAGTTCTGAGTTATAGCCATGGAGATGACACAGTTTCTGCTCATTTGTGAATGATGTTATTCAAAGTGCGCCATTGTTTGGATCATAGATTAAGAAGGTAGGAGCCTTCTGAGCTATTCATCTGACATCTTTTATTAATTTTAAATTAACCTAGAAATTAAACTGAGTTACTTTTATTAGGAAGAGAAATTGGTTTGGCAATTATCTGGATAGTCACTAGCCTGTGTTTTATTCTTAGGGCATGGCTTCAGTTGCTTATATAACCTTCAAAAAGTCAATAAATCTCTCCCAGTCTGGAAATAAAAATTAGGAAGCTTGATTTCATCCTGCTTTCTACCACTTAGCACTTCCCAACAAATCTCCTTTGTGTAATGTTATAAGATATATGGAATTAGCAGGTAACACTGAAGGAGCACAGTTGCAAACATATTAGCGGGGCTCTCTCCCAAATTTTAGGGCTGGGGGAGAGGACACTGTGTCTTTAAGACTTAAGGAGGCATATTCAGAAGGGCTGGTCCTGCAGCCTTGGGAGGAACCTCACTTGCCACACTGCTGGTTGTCAATCCCAGAGAGGTGGAACCTTTCTGGAAGAACATGTTTCAATACCCAACAAACATCTTGCAAATTCCCTTGCAGTTCCACTTCTAGTTTTTTCTCTTACTCCAAGATTTATTCAGAATCATAAATATTTTAATAATCAGCATTATTAAAATAAAACAGCAACAATTACAAGCTAACCTGTATATGGCAGAAAGAAATTTGTTTTAAAAAAATTCTGTTCATACTGGGCTGTGTTCTGCAGCCCTTCAAACTATAGAATAGTGATGGGCACATAGAAATGTGAATAAAAAATTTTATAAAATGTGCCCCCCCCTCCTCTCGGTACTAGAGGTTTAATCCAGGAAACCTTTTCACTTTTCACTTTACCAGTGAGCCACATCCCCAACCAACTCTTTTTTTTTTTTTTTTTTTTTTTTTTTGAGACAGGGTCTCCCTAAATTGTGTCAATCCTGTAGGGTCTTGCTAAATTGCTGAGGCCAGCCTTGAATTTATGATCCTCCTGTCTAAGCCTTCCAAGTCACTACAGGATTAGAGGTATGTTGCCTACATCTAGTATCATCTCTTTTTTTTTTTTTAATAACAACATGTGTATATGCATATTCTGAAATTTAATAAGAATTACCTGATGGATGAAATTATATGTAGATTTTGTTTTCTTCTTTGAGATTTCTACATTCCCCTAATTTTCCTGAAAGAAAAGAACACAATTCCTGGTCTTCTCTCTTTCTTGGGTGGATGTCCATGTCCAGGTGTTTGTTTTCAGTTGTATGTGAGCCATTCAGCTCCTTCCTGACATTAGTTGGCTGCTTCTGTTCTGTTTGGTTTGTGTTTGCCTTTGTTTCACCAGTGTTCTGTTGGTGAGGTCAAGGGGAGAGACAGAAATGTTTCCTCTCAGTAATCCTTGAACATCTTACTCATCACTGTAAGTGATTAATTTATTCAAAGCCCAATTTTGAAATAATTGACAATGAGGGGAATCTTTCTCAAATTAATTTTGCTAGCACTATGTCAGGGTAGGCAGGCCCTGAAGACGACCGTGGCTTATGYGTGAACATTTAAGTAAACCCTGATATAGAGAAGGCTGTGTATAAAAGCAAGACTTTTAAAAGTCTTTTTCTTTCATAATAAATGTATTTCCAAATCTAAGAAGCTCAAAGGAAAAACTGTGTGACCTTGTCATTGAAAAGAGAAGGAACACAAAGTTTCTTATGAGTATTCTTCTAGAATATCTGATGGGTAAGCTTAAATCTCACCTCCAGTCCTAAATACTACATTAGGAAAGGGCAGGGTACAGCTTTCTTGGAGGAAATTTTGTTTATCTGAGCAGCTTCAGCTTTGCGTGGGTTCAGTTTCGTGCAATTAGGTTTCACTTCCTGTAATAGATCATTATTTTTTTTTAGCCCAGAATGAAGAAACTCTGTCAGTTTATATTACAGCCATTTATTCAAACCAGACTACTTTAATTAATATACCCAACTTTACCTCACATGGAGTTTAAATGCAAAACCTCAAATTGCCCTAGAATGCCATTGCTGTGTGCAAACACAAATACCCTGTATTGGCACAAAACTTTCCATGTAAATTTGTACGTATTCATCTACGCTCAGCTGAGTTGCTGGACTTGAGAGCCATTATGACTGAATTTCACAAGACCACCAGGCTTCGAATGCAAATATTGAGCTTATAGGCATATTCATGGAGCACTTGTCTTCATCATGGCTGTCTGAAATGGTATTAAGAGAGGCTTTTCATAAATTTTGAATATGTTCAATTCCATAACAGTATCCAATCTAAGTTTGGTAGCAGTTTACTTCCAGATAGGTTTCAAATACTTCAGGTTTGGTAAAGCTAAAAAGAACCAAATATGGACTGGTGTTGTGGCTCAGTGGTAGAACCCTTGCCCCGCACATGTGAGGCACTGGATTTGATCCTCAGCACCATATAAAAATAAATGAATAAATAAAATAAAGGTATTGTGTCCAGATGCAACATAATAATAATAATAATAATAATAACAACAACAACAAAAAAGACCAAACATTCCCCTACCTCCACCCACTTGGAACTGCTTATGCCCTAAAGGGTAACTGAACCCTATGGATATGGTCAGAGTTAACAATCCTGCCTTTCTGATGTTGTTTTACTTACCCTCTATTTTCTAGAGGTTGTAGAAGTTATTTCACAAACTGCGGCTGTTCTTTCTTCTTTTCCTCCTTTTTTCAAATTACCGGAATGATGTACTTCCTTGTGCTAGGCAGAGCAATATGCGGAAAGGTTTGGAAAATTTAGTTTATTCTAAACTTAAAGTTCCAGGAGTYTGTGAGTGGGTATAAATTTGGTAAAACCTGTTTTCTTCTTACTATCAACTTGTTTTAGAATCATCTGGACTTGATTCTGAAGATCAAAATTCAGCTGCTGGACTTATTGCCAACCAGTACTTTACAGGATTGGGCGTATGTGGGATGTGTGTGCACGTGTGTGTATTCGTTGTACATGTTTTAAATAAAAAACAAACTATGCATTAAACTTCATGATTATTCAAGTCAAGTTTTAAGACTCCCAGTGCTGACTGTGGGTTTGCACTGGAAGGAACAGTGGAAAACTATCAGGAAATGGTCCAAGTGTTCCAAAACTTATTTTGGAATTCTTTTTTTTTAAGGCAGCAATCTATGCAGAGGGTTGTTTCTTTCTGTAATGTCTTGGTCAAAGCACCTAAGTTGTCCTAAGTTATATTTGCAAAGAGGATGAAAAAAAATCACAGGTTCTTTAATGAGGTATGTGTACAGTAGTTATTTAATAAAGTTTAATGAAATGTTTCTGCCTGCAAAGATTTCTGAAATTTTCTAAGAATAAAATATTATTGTATTCTCTTATGAACATGGCGCAAGTTTGCATTTTATTAACAAATATACTGTTATATTACTAACTGGTACAATCAATTCATTTTTTAAAAATTCAGTCATGGAAAATCCCTTTATATAATCACGTTATATAACATTAATGTTAATGTTTAATAACATTTTTATTATTTAGCCTCCACAATGTCCCCCATGATCCATGTAGTCTCCTCCCACATGGAACCAGGACTGGCTGAAGTGACCGGGAGTACAGTAACCCTATATGAGTCTCAAGATTGTAAAAGGTATTGCATTCTTACCCTGATCTTTTGGATTGGTCATTCTGGGGGAAACTACCACCAGAAGGGCACTAGATCAGCCAGCCCCTTGAAAGAGACCCAAATGGAGAGGAACTAAGGCACCCCATTACTTTCTGTCAGGGAGCCACCTTGGAAATAGATAATCAAGTCCCAGCCAGGCCTTCAGATAGTGGTCACCCCTGTCAAAACCTGACTGCAACTATAAGAGAGGCCTAAGCGAGAATAACCAGCATAATTCTCAGATTCCTGACTTATAACTTGGGTGCACAATGTCATTATTTTATGGGATCATGTTTTGGGATGATTTTTCACATAGCCACAGTGTCAGCTTTTCATTGGTGTGACCACAGACATAATATGAACACCTGAAAGAGGAAAGATTTATTTTGGCTCATAGTTTCAGAGGTTTCCATCCATGGTCAGATGGCTCTATTGCTTTAGGCCTGAAGTGAGGCTGAAAATCAGGGTAGAAGGGTGTAGCAGAAGAAAGTTGCTCAWCTCATAGCAGCTGGGAAGCAGGGGGATGGGCAGGGCCAGGTACAAGGGCCTGCCCCCATGATATGTTACCTTCAACCAGCTCCCACCTCCTATACCTCCCGATAATGCCTTCTAATTATTACTCCATTGATGGGGTGAGAGCCCTCATGATCCAGTCACTTCCCCAAGTTCCCACCTCTGAACATTGCTATATAGGGGACAAAGCCTTGGATATMATGACTCTTTAGAGGAGACTTCATATCCAAATTATAACACATACAAATTAGATTAATATTTAAATATATTTGTCTTTAGCAGCTTCACAGGTTTAATTCTCACTTTTCAGTCTTCGATAGTCAATAGTGATTCTAAAATSAAGCACACGCTTAATCCTCCCACAAGCTTCTCTCCAAGTTTTCTTAGAAAATTTCCTATGTAACATGTGTTCAATTCCGGGGCCACTTAAGTTCCTTGTTGGCTTTGCTGCCATTTAGCATTGGAAGGCTACAAAGCAGGCCATTCCAGGCACAGCTTTTCTGGCCTTTAACTGCTTTGATGGATTTTTGATGGATTTGATGCTTCCTCTCTGAAGACACACCCCTTTTATAATCAATATCTACTGATACTCCTGGGTTTGGTGAACTACATCTAGTGAATGTATGAGCCAAGAAATTGGTGAACAAGGAATGATAAACATATGAACCAATAAATAAACTTTGGCACCTAACATGTGTTAGGTGCTATGTTAAGTGTTTTCACATGTTAACTCTGTTTCCACTTCTGTTATCCCTTTTGTATGCACAGATTTTTTTATACTACTTCACATGCATTTGAGCTTCCTAATTAGGCTGTGTATTTGGGGAGTGGAGGGAAGAAATCCAATAGAGGGTTTATTACCATTTACCATCTTTCTGACACGATGGTCTTGTTATGAGTATAATCAGCTTTTGGTTTGTGTAAAGAAAATCCAAGAACCACCCATTAACTGGGAGCTTCAACTTCCCCCAGAGACATAAAGTCCAGGCTCTCAAAGACCTTCATTCTTCTGAGGGAAAGGGCAATAACAAAAAAAAAAAAAAAAAAGGAGGAAAATTACTGCAAAGCAATAAGGTCTATGAAGAGATAGATGTAAAACAGAGTAATGTGACAGTTGTGGGACGGTTGCTTTAGCAGACAGCTGAGACCTGCAAAACAGGAGAAAGATGAAAGAAAGAGTGTCAGAGGCAGAGAAGCAGCACAGTGTCAAGGTCACAAGGTGGGGAGGAGCRTGGCATAATTGGGGTAAAACAAAGGCTGGAAAAAGAGTGCAGATGGTGGAGCAAGATGAGGTCAGGCAGGTAGACCAGCTAACCAGGGAGGGGAGGCCTTTGTACCATGAAACAGGAAATTGTAATCTGTTCTCTAAGAACAATGAGAAGCCAATGAGGATTTGTAACCAGTGATTTGACTTATATTTTAAAAATAATCTTCTGGCTGCCCTGGAGTATGTGGGGTATGATATGGGGGCAAAAATAAAAGCAGGGAGTTGTTAGGAAACTTGGACAGTATTATAGGGAGGGGTGATAAGAAGGCGAGAAGCTGGTACGTGCAAGGAATGCCTGGAGGAGGACCCTGAGGATCTTGATGGATTGCATGTGGGGGAGCTTCCTGCCAAACCTCAGCTCTTTTGGCACCGTCACCTTGCTGGCCTGCACAGTACTGTTTATTAAATCATTTAAATCTTCATTTCCCTTTCTCTTATTATTTTGTAAAACAATAGAAATTGGAAAAAATGAAAATGTTGGTATTAATGATAAAAATCATGAGTCTCATAAATATGATTTCTTGACATAAGAATTATATCATTAGGCATGCTGAAAGCAACAGATTTTAGCCTCAATTGGTTTCTCAGTTAAACCCAAATCAGTTAACAGCATAGGGCTGGCAATGTGACTTGGGGTTAGAGCACTTGCCTAGCATGCACATGGCCCTGGGATCAGTCCTCAGCACCACACACACACACACACACACACACACACACACACACACACACAGTTAAACAAATAAACACAGTGTATTCATTGTTGAAGAATAGGAAAAAAAATTAAAGATCATGTGTCCAGGTAAAAATCAGGTGCAGCACACAACTCACAGAATCCCAGATTTCTGGGATAAGGTAGGAGGATCCACAAGTTCAAGACCAGTTTCCTCAGCAACTTAAGACTCTGTCAYGAAATAAAAAATGAAAAGGGTGGGTAAGTAGCTCGGTGGTAAAGTATCCCTGGATTCAATGTCTAGTACCAAAAATAAACAAATAAATAAAATGSAAGTTATGTTTAAAAATTGCTAAACACTTTGATCTCGAAATTTTATTACACTTTAATCTACTTTCCAATGTTTGCACATTTTTTGATAGTATTAGTTTTTATATTTTCAAATGCATTTGGTCCCTTAGTAGATAACCACATTCTACTAAAGGGCCAAGTATATTCACATGTAACCCAAGAAACATTAATTCATGTATTTAAAAATGTTTATTGGGTTATTACTAAGTCCTGGGAACYCTCTATGTGCTTGGGTTATAAAAATGAACAAGGTAGGTGAAATACTGAATTTGATTTCTTAGGGCTTTGAGCACCGTGGTGGTTGTAAATAAAATAAAACAGGCAATTACAACAGAAAGTAAGAACAAGTGTGATGGGCAATGTTCAGGATGCCTCAGGAATACATAGGTAGAAAGAAGGCGTTGAGGTTGCATGGGAGAGAGAATCAGAAAGCACTCCCAGAGTGTGTAACACCCAGGCTGAGGCCCAAATTTGAGTTGTGTATTCACGGAGCTCATGCAGTTCTATATGAACTGGTCCCCTTGCTAAGGTGGGAACCCAGACATTAATTCATWCAGTGGCCACACCTCCTTGCAGCATCTTTTCTCTCTCCAATATGGCACATACAATAAATTTGGTAAAAAAAAAAATTGTTTGTTTTTATAAACAGGCCTAAAAAAACCACAATTGTAGTCTACATATGGAAGTGAAGAGAAAGTAAATGAGTATACAAGAAACAATTGTTAAGACCAACATGGAAGTAAACTGGTATAAGAATTTAAAGCCTTTGGCTAGAAAAATAGAAATCTCTGATACTGAAAAGTGGTATATTGGTTCTTACARTAGCCCTGCTCTATAAGGCAATTCTCCACTGTGTATTCTATAAAGAAACAAGAAAAATCAGATTGTACAACTGATTTAGCATGTTCCAGAGTCAGTTGCACATACTTATTAATGGGGAAGGAGAAATAGTATGTATTTAAAAAAGGTGCATGTATGCTCAGTTGTGGTTCTGCTTTTGTATTGTAGGAAGATACGGGAAATATGGTGGAATATATAATTATGGGCATTCACGAAGGTCTCAGACTTAGCTGCTAACATGAAGGCCTATCCCCCTTGGATGGGTACAGTATTTTCTTTTAAAGAAAAAAAAAACATCAAAATTTGGAATTTCTATGTTGGGTATTTTTACCACCTTCTGAGTAAACCTAACCCCTGTTGCCTTGCTGTTCATTCTTTCCAAATACCCCCTTTATGCACATGTCTAATATTATCAGAGTTAAGAAGTCAGAGGGACTGATATTCAAATATTTCAAATGTTAGGTATACAGTTGGTTTAGTTTGCCCAAGAAATAATGTACACATGTGGCAGGATCTGCTTTACAAATGACTCCCCTGAATTCCACTTAAAAACTACCCTTATTACTAGTGTATTAGCTAGAGAGTGCGGTGCTTATGGTAAGCACCCCACATGGCCCTTGTTTTTAAAGAGCTAGAACTAATCTGCCAAGTAAAGAAAGAGTGAATTCATTTACCAGAGTCATTAACAAATGTAGGGAAGTTGAGTTTTCTGATATTCTTGCTTATGCTCATGGCATTAATCTAAGTTTTAAGTTCATGGGTTAAATACTACAGAGATTGTTGTACTTTGTGTTTTCCATCCCTATAAAAGGTCTCACTTTTCTTTTTTAAAAATTTTTAAATTTGTTTTAATTAGTTACACATGACAGTACAATGATGTTGACATATCATACATTTGAATCAGATGGGGTATAATTTCTCATTTTTCTGAGTGTACAGGTTTCAGAATCACATTGGTCATGCAGTCTCGTATATACCCACAGCAATAATAATGTGTATTTTATTCTGCTGTCCTTCCTTTCCCCTCTTCCCTTCCCCTCCCCTCCCATTTCTTTACCCCTCTTTTCAACCCAACACCAACCTGTGACCTTTTAGAAAATGTGTGGCTTTAGTGATTTTTGTAAGCTCCTATGTCCATACAGTGACTGAATAAGATCCTGTATGAATCCTATATGAATAAGAGGCTGATTTTCAATCCACCAGAAAAAGGAATGGGAGAGTAATGTTACACTAAGGTCTTTGCTGAGGCTGAATAAAAATTATCACAATGAAAGAAACAGCAGGTTTAAAAATATATATATATAAATTTTCCCCATTTATCATTTTATTAATGACCTAGTAAAT